GGGGCGGACTAGATGTGCTCCAGCTTCTGGGGCCAGCTTGGAACAATTCCCCAGCAGATGGCAGGATGGCTTCAAGGGAGATTCCTCCCGTTAAAGCCACCCTTTCTGGTCTAAGCAGGAGCATGCTTTTCCTGCTCTCTAATTACACCTTCATGTTAGAAAGCATTTTTTGGGGGGGGGGAAGCTTTTTCCCTCCAGCCATGGTTTATCATCACGATAACACAGACCTCTTGCTCAACCTGTCCCCTCTGAAGGGACGACACCCACCCCGTAATATCTCCGGCACCGGCTGTCCTGCAAGAAGCAACAATGGGTTGCGGCACCTTACAGGTCGACAGGCTTTGTGTGTTTGTGGGCTGCCTAGGATGGCCGTTTAATTCCACACACACACACACTCCCAAAAAAGAGGACATCTATCACACCAGAAATGAATCAAGATAAAAAAGGACACTGGTTTGCATAAAACTGCATGCACTCATTGATAGGTACCGGGTGCAAACTGAGAAATTGGGTTTTTTTTATCATTTAAAGAGAACTAAGTGCACCTCACTTGAGGAGGAGAAATTGTAAGTAGGAGAGGGCGCTTGAATGCTTGCTGATGGCACTTCTCTCCCAGTACTGCTCAAAGGGGACAATAATGATCAATAACCTTTGAATGGCAAAGCTGGAAAGGACTCGATCAATCAAATCTGGCCCCTCTCAAGGAGGTGCCACAGGGGAATCAAACCCCCAAACTCTGGCCCCGCAGCCAGAGGCCTAAGCCACTGGGCTATCCCGCAATTGGATGGGCAACTTCAAGGTCCCTTGACCTCCCACCTTTCTAAAATTGTTTACCTTGGAATGGAGGACTGCCCTTCCTAAAAGAACGTAGGTGGCCACTCTTACGGCTGCAGCCCCCTTCGTCAAAAGCACCCAATGAACAGGCCTGTGATTTTCGCTTCTTTTTATTTGACCAAAGTGCTTGGTCTTCCTGCATGGTATGAGTTTACGGAAGCAAAGCCACGTACGATCCCAGTTCAGCTTCCAGAAGGGACCCCTTGACTCCTCCTGGAAGTGGGATGTGCTTCTTCAGAGGGGGCCCCCTTCTCTTATTTCCCTACAGGAATCCCGTCCTCCATCCGCTCGGTCCCTGAACTGATCAAGTTCTTGACCATGATCATCTTCACCTGCTCGGCCCACCACGCTGCCGTCAACAGCGGCCAGGTATGTAAGGCCGTTCTCTGCTCTTGGCTGGAAGAGGGAAATTGAGATTTCCATGGTCACAACCCCTCCTACCTCCAGGATGTTTAAACAAGAAATGCAATTAGATTTGCTGTTTTTCTTTGAAGCCGGGGTAGATAAGGTAAGGGTGTGAGCACCTCTGGTGAGCAAACAGGTATGCTGTTGGAGCAGCTGGTGCAGAGGTGGAGGAAATGTTCTTCTCTTTAATTCCATGGCAACTGTAACAAACTGGGCTGTTTATACCTCTAACCCTGCATGATACGACAGCCTGCCAGATATTTTCAGTTTTCTGGAGCATAACCAGTACCACTCATATGCTATTAACAATCACTTTTAGTCGGTGCCTGTGAGAATACAGGAATATACAGGAGAGGATCTTTTCCAGCCCTGCATATGTTTTAAATCAAGGAAGGACAACATGAAGCCCCCTCAAAAGTTTCATTTAAAAACAAATTTGGCCACTAGAGGGAGCAAGACAGATTTTTTGGCTAAACAAATTTGGCCACTAGAGGGAGCAAAACAGATTTTTTCAGCTAAACAAATTCGGCCACTAGAGGGAGCAAGACAGATTTTTTTCAGCTATGCAAAAGAAGGATTAGCTGACTCCCAACATTTCTGTTCCATCATGTTTCCATATCAGATGGTGAGACATTTTCCCGCTATCCAGAATGTTGTGAATATATTTCTATGCAGATATTAATATTTTTAATTTTAATTCAAAATTTTATTTTATGAACACAAACATTCATGTTAACACTTGATTCTTTATTCTCCTTTTTTTGCATTGATAAAAGTGTGTTTGCAGACATTCTTCAAATGTACACGTTATTAAACTCGGGTGCCTTTTTGATGTAATGTCCAATTTGGGAACCATTTTTCACGATAAAGGAGGACCCTTGTATCCATGGAAGATTAGATCCAAGCCCCACCCTGTCAATGTTGAAAAATGTGGATTAGAGTGAACACTATTTTAATTGTGAATACTGTTCATGATCTCTGGTTCCCTTTAGTGGCCAGTTCTGGTACCTTCATCTTTAGAAATATATATTTGTAGGATTTTTCTTTCAGTAGTTTTAATATTTTCAGACTGTGGATAAGGAAATCAGCGGATACCGATCCCACAGGCTGTGGATAAGTAAATCAGCGGATACCGATCCCGCAGATAAGGGAGGTCTTCTAAGGTTTCTAAGGCAAGGACTGTGTGCCATTTCCTTGACAGCCACAGAAAGTACACCATGGATACGTCCATATGGAATCCAACAGATTTATTTTCTGGACCCCCTTGAGATACAGTTTTTTTGGGGGGGGCGGAATTAACATTGGGTCCCACCCTTCCCCGATCAACATGGCCAAGCTCTGGCTGTAGATCTTCACCCAGTTCCTTAATGGATTTATTTTTTCACGTACCCTCTCCTCTCTCTCTCTCTCCTCTTGGCACTCAGTTCGAAATGGGAGCCTTCATGCCCAACCTGCCGGCCTCCATGAGGAAGCCCCCGCCTACGATGAAAGCCCCCGTGAGCTTGGAAGATTTTCTGGACACCATCCCGGAGATGAACAGCACCAGCCAGGTCCTCTCCGTCTTGTGGGTCCTGCGCAATGAAAACTTCGACATGGTGAGAATGGCCGCCGTGAGGAGATGGAGAAGGAGGGGGACCTTCCCGGTCCGAACAGGGGGAAAGCCAGAGTCCTCCTCCACCACCACCATCACCATCACCACCTCCTGGTTCTTCAAAACAGAAATGAGAGATCTGGCTCCTTGCTCTCAAGCAATGCAGAAGCTTCTGCCCCTGTAGGTCCTCTGTCCTAGAGTCTGTCTTCTGCTTAGATCCCTGTCCCTACGCTTCTACAACTTGGAAAAGTTAACTTTCTCAGTCCAGATCTCCACCACCACCACCACGCCGGCCAATATGGCCCAGAATTCTGGGAATTTTAATCCAAATGAGAGGGAGGGGGGGAGCCTTTGAAAGCTGCTCCTTCCACCCACCCGCTTGGTGGTGGCTCCGTCTTCCTCAAATCTTTCATTTCCTCACCACACTTCCAGCTCACGTCCTCTTCTGTTGTAAAGCCTGCGGTGAAATCGCTTTCTAAGGTCTTTACTGGAAGATCCGTTTTAGCCTGTTTTTGAGAAAAGGCTGCTCCTCTCAGGCGCGGAAAGAGGTCTCTTTATTACAGCACGTGATTTTCATCACCTATCGAGGTATCTTGCCTTTAGCGTGCATTGGTTTGTGACTGGACATTGCCGAGGCATGTACCTCGAAGGAAATAAATTCCACGGTGGGAAAGAAAATGGATTAATCTGGGGCATACATACTGTATTCTCTTTTCCATCTAGTTCTACCCTTAGTCAAATGAGTCTGCCATGTCTTGGCTGAAATCCTGTTGCATCAGTTAAACCGCATAAGGCTGATGAGGTCATCAGCTATGGCAATTTTTCAGACATAAAATATTTAACCCCCTCCCAAGGATCGTGCGGAATCCTGCTCGTTGTCGGAGCCCCATTGGGGGGCCCGCTATATGCGGGAAGGTCTTTAATTATCGAAAATTGACACTCTCAGGATGGCCTTACTGGCAGTGGGGAGTTTTGGTAATTAAAGATTCTCTCTCTGCTCCCCCATCCGTGGCTCCCAACAGCTCTCTAATGGCGAAAGGGATTCCATTGGAAACGTGGGAATTTTGGGGGATGGGGAGATGGGAAATGTTTTATTTTTGAAGAATTGCCACACCTGATGACATCCTCGGCCTTATGCATCATAACCATGCAACAGGATTTCAGTCCCTTTCCAGATGCTATTTTGACTCCCGATAGCTTCAACCAGCCATTCTCCGCATTCTGTGACATCACGGCAGGTCAGCCAATGGCAGGGTGCCGGCTCACAGGATGCCGACAGGTCTGATTTGGGACTAAAAATAGGAAGGACGGCAGCTTTTGGGGGGAAAGGATCCTGCCCCTTAACCCTAACCCTGAAATCTCAGAGTTCAGAGGCAGGAAAAGTGGGTGGGTGAGAATCCTGCTTTTGGCTTTGAGTTTCTCCTGCAGCTGATTTTTGAAAATGTCAGCAGTGAGCCAGAAGCATTCTGCACGTGGGCAGAGACCCCCTTGTGATCCCGACTTATGCCAGCTTTCCCTCCTTTTGCAGAAGCCGTTGGGGGAGTACGACGAGGAACATTTTGTGGAAGAAGAGCCCAAGCAACTGGTCACTGCCTTTCAAGCGCGTCTGGCCCACATTTCGGAGGGGATCAAGAAGAGGAACATGTCGCTTGAGCTGCCGTACACCTACCTCGACCCGCCCAACATAGAGAATAGCACCACCATCTAAGATGTACTGGGTTTGTCGGGCTGTGCATGTTTCCAGTCCACAGTGATCATTTTGTGAGGTGTTACTTTTTTCTTTTCTTTTCTTTTTATAATTCTGCCTCCTTCCTTCTGAGATGAGGTTCCTCAAGAGGAGGAAAGGGAAATAATTCCATTCCGTTTGGTTCTGTATGTTTCTTTTAAAGAATTGAATTTCTCAAAATTCTTCATACATTGAATGGAAAGAACTTGATGTGTTTCAAAAAATAAATAAATACGGGAGATGGTCAAATTGTCTTAAGAGCATCCCTCAAATTCCTTTGGACATTTCAGGCTGAGTGCTTGAGCCCTTTGTTCAACACAACCTCACACAAACACACAGAGATCGGGATTAAGAGAATTAAGGCTACCGGCTAGCAAGCCGGGGATTCATGCCACATTTTTAAAATTGCCCATGCAGCTAGGATCCCAAACTAAATGAAGATTTTTGTACCGGCTTCCCTCCACCATTTCTTACGCTGGCTCCTATGATAGGAGCAGCCCTCTTGCTGTTTCAAAGAACATGCAAGGAAAATATGTCAGTCCAAAAAGGCGTCGCACCCGGACGACTTTCCCAATGAAAAGATGCATTTCAAACATGCTTTAAAAAAAAGTATTTGCATGTTCCCTTGATTCCAGAAGGACACTGAAAGCACGCATCTATGCCTAGTCCTGGAGGCAAAAGAACATGTTGTTTCCTGTCCTAAGAAAAAAGATTTCCGCGCTCAATTGGCCAGTGTTTACTTCTTTGTAGTTAACATATTCCAGAGCTGGGAAACATAACTGTTTTTGGGGTGGGGAGTGGGGTGGTGGTGGAATAGGAATGATTTTTTTTTCCATTTTTAGTAATGGAAATGAGACTTGTTTTCCTTGTTAGCACGTTCCAGAACTTGGTGTTTGGAAATTCTAGTGCAAAAAGCAACGCTTCTGAGTTCTGGCACATATTATATTGTGTGTGACTCGAGCATTCTTCACACCCCATACATACACACCCCGAATAGGCCTGTCTTTCCATCCCACACCTCTAAACCCTGCTTCTGTGCCTTGGCAATCTTATTCCTAGAGGTGAGATAAATGCTTGTAATATCTTGATTTTTCTCTATATTCCTCCATGCAAGAGCTTTATCCTCCCCTAGAAAAAATAAACGTGGAGGAGAGGAGAATATTGTGCCAGTTTTAATGTATTCCAGGGTCAGTCTGCTTAGGATTTCTTTGCTCTTAAAAAGCAACGAATATCTGTGTTTCTGCTTGGCCAGCACCAGACCTCCCGAGAACTATACCAGCCCTTTAACCAGCAACAAAAATCAACACACCTCACACACAACCCCCCTCCAATAAAGCCAGAGGACAGTATTCAAGCTTATTAACAAAATTTATCAATAGCTAATACTTAGCAGATACATCCTCTCTGCTTGTGAGACAATTTAAAAAAACTTCCCTCCCCCCAGGCCCCGAATTCCAATTTTGGCAGGACTCAGTGGTCACATACGGGCAGTGAAATGGGCTCGTGAGGTGGGGCCACTGGCTGAGTGGGTGTGGCCAAAGCCAAGTGGGTGTGGCCATGAGCTCATCTTACCCAATTTGGGCATTTGCACACTAAGCATGAAAGAGATCCTTTACTATCAAGGGGTGGTGGTGGTGATCAGCCCCTCTCTTGTGCCAGTGGAAGCAAACGCCCGTCCTTTTCTAATCTAGCCCCAAACATTCCAGTGGCAGATTATTCTGGAGAAATTCGAACCAGAATCCTAGCATTCGGTTGCATTGGGGGTAACTTTTTTGTACCGTCCACGCATGTGCATCTTTTTTTTTTCCCTGGGTTAATTCTAACCCAGAGGCAGATGGGAGAATGTTCCTTTCTGAAATGGCAGGTTCCAGCATCCTCCAGTGGCCATGCTGGCTGGGGGATTCTGGGCGTTGTAGTCCAGAAAGAAAGTAAAAATTTGCCTCTCTGTGTCCAGAGGAGACTTTTTGCAATCTGGCCCTCTTAAACTAGCCCCCGGTGAAGCACTTTCCACGCAGACTAGCCTCAGATCTGTAGAATAACATAGCAAAGGTTGGAAGTTCAAGCAACTATGATGCCACACAGGAAATGCAAGATTTAACGTGCAAGTCCTAATCCATGGGTATCATCATACAATTTTTAGTAGCAGGTCCTGCACACTCCGCCTGCTTTTGATCAACAACAACGCCTGCTTTCACTTCCTTTTTGCTGGCCTGCGTTCCTCAAAGCTGCCTCTGTGGCTACTTGTCACGAAGAGCCTCGAAGATTTGCATGGGGTGGTCTGCGCTCCACAAACACACGCTTGACGAGAACAAGCTTTTTGCAAACAAAAATTTCCTGGAAGAGAAAATGAAGAGGCAACATTACCATGTTCCTCCCACTTCAGAGTTATTTTAAACCCGGAGCGCTTCTCCACCAAGAACAACAACAGCTACTGGTCATCAGAAATAACTTTTGGTTTTGGTAGAAAAGGCATTCTGGCTGGAAAGAGATCAGGAAAAGTTTTTTTAAAAAAAAAAGTTGCGTTTTTTTGGACTACAGCTCCCAGAATGCACCCACTGGGAGTTGTAGTCTAAAAACAACAACATTCTAGCAGGCAACTCCAGTGGAGTTCTGCGACATTGTTTCCGCGTTTGTCAGAAATACAGGGTTCTGCAAAAGCGCCACACACCTCCACATCCCCGGGCGTGTTTTTGCTTTCTTTTATTTTTTTGGGGGGGGGGGCCAGGGAGGTCGG